TACCCCGCAAGGACAGAGAGCGCCCTTATTTCCTACCAACCGAATCTCTACTGGTTAGAGTTCATGAAGCCTCATGAGAGTCGTATCGACGGCTTCTATCTCATAATTTTTGTTCTCTTAGTTTCGGTATGTCAACCTTGAGAGATGTTTGCCACTCCAGGCATAGCATGAATAAGCATTTTGCCCAAGTTTGGTTGCAACAGTCCTACTATAGTCAAAAAACTTGAAATATTTTTCAATTTTTTATTAAATATTATGCACACACACAACCTATCACAGAGCATCGGTATTCGAATATTGAACTAAAAAGGAAACTACATACAAAATGACAGAAAGCTGACTCGTGAACCTGATCATTGGGCCCGTATAGCGTGGAAAATGTCATAGCAAGTACATGGCAATGGAATTCTGAACTGAACTATTATTATATTTACAATTGAGTCATTGGCACAGGGTAATTTGTGAGAGTACGGTAGCTCTCGTTTGGTAAAACCGGTGTTGGTGGTTTATGGTTTGGTGGCGGTCGTGACAATGGCATCTGCGGTCGCGGAAGGAAAGCCGACGTCGGGCTCTCATAGGCGGAATCTTGCGATTCGTCACTGGTACAGTATGGCGAGAAACTGGACTTGTCGAAACCATAGTCTTTATGGGAGAGGGCATTGATAAGGGTTTGGTGTTGATAAAGAGAAGATCGCCGTGGGGTCGGCCTTTTCATGAGAAGGAATTGAAATCAGAATAACAATCAGGAAAAGAACAAGTATGCTCAGCATGAATGGAAGAAGCATTCCATGAAATATTGAACAGGAATCCAGTTCATTCAATGGCACACCGGCAAGAGATTCTGGAGAAGCGCATAGAGCCGTGGACGGCAACCGAAGCGCTCGCAGCTCGCAGGAGCAGTCCCATGGATTGTTGTCGAGGTCGAGGAAGGGTACAATGGAGATCCGTAGTGAAGAGGGCAGCGTTTGAAGACGATTTCCGGCCAGTGAGAGCATGTTCAGCGGTGGCAGCGGTTGAAAGGCGGTTGGAGCGATGTGCGTCAGGGCACAGTTTGAGAGATCCAACGTTTGCAGGGATGACATCGACACAAAGGCAGCCATCTGAAATGGAACTCGTATTTCTCTGGACTAAAATTGATCAAGTAAAAATTAGTTAAACTAATGTAAAGTTATCAAATCGATAAATACATATTGAATGATAAATTTTTTTGCATTACATGAAGCCATTACAGTCAGCTTACATTTTATCGCCCATCATGCGGCGCTACAAAACCCAACAGCGACTTAAAGGCACACTCTACATCTGGTTATTGGAGTGAAGTCACAAAGGTAGAGCTGTGCGCCAACGCAGAGGAAATGCCTACTTCGCCACCCGAAATTGCTAAGGCAGATATTGGTTGGCTGAGCGGGTGCCCCCACGGCTTCACCTAGCATTGTGGTTCCACGCCCGGATTGCCGTAATGTTGTATGTACATAGGCCCTCTAATCTATTTAGTTTGTGTTCGTGCTTTATCCTCCCCTCGACCTCGGATCCCAGCCCTTTCTCATCTCGTTGCAGTCTCGCGCAAAGCCCTCCCACGGCCTGATAAAAAATAACGCATTCACTTCTGACACATGTTTCAATGATCCTTTTCCTTTTTTCATCACTCCAAGCTCTGTTCCCGATTTCGCAATGATAGCCGTCCGCTATCGCAGCATGTATACGAGGAAATTGTGGTGCCAATCCATTCAAAACTGCGCAAAACATCTCCTTTTTCTTGAAAACGGCTAAGCCTCAGACAGGAAGGAGGATTCCAAGATGCGTGAGCAGTCTTTATTTTTTCGGAGTTCTTTCCCTTTACTAGGCTCAGCCCTCCAGGACGCCCCCGCATCTTCTTATGGCGCCAATAGACCCACCAATTTGACTGCGAGTACCTTAAAAGGATGGAGTTAATAAAGGCAACACCAAACTCACATGAATTGCCTTCAGATTCCGTGGAGTTGGCAGAATTGAGGGGGGGGGGGGGGGGGGGGGGGGGGGGGGGGGGGGGGGGGGGGGGGGGGGGGGGGGGGGGGGGGGGGGGGGGGGGGGGGGGGGGGGGGGGGGGGGGGGGGGGGGGGGGGGGGGGGGGGGGGGGGGGGGGGGGGGGGGGGGGGGGGGGGGGGGGGGAACGAAGCTGTTTCGAGAGCAACAAACGGATTCCCGGACAGATCCAATGAGCGAAGTTTGCCGAGCGGCCACGTGTTTCCAGGGAGTCGTACTAGCTGCAAATTATAACGTTTACTACCACAAATGAACGATTTATTTCAGAATACATGAATCATTTTACTGTGACACATTTCACGGCCCAAGTTGGCTTAGTGGCTGATGCAGTTGCGCCGAGTTTTATTAACGCGGGTTAGGTCAAGTCAGGCCAAGTTGCTTTCTCAAGATGAACAATTCGCATCAGAATTCACCAGAGTGATGCTAACTTCGTTATCTGATCCCAAAGCCACTAGTAGCAATAACCCAACATACGCCTGTGCTTCTATAGACGTTTTCAGAATCTGCCTACGTGGCGCATTCTGTGAGGCTGGTTAGCACAGCTAATTTATCTTCCAGTGTGCACACCAAGAGAAAGAGGGGATGAGTCGTCGACGAGTGAAAGAGAAGACGTCGGGTCAGAAGCTGTTAAGGGTTAATTACGGACTTGAACCTAACTAGTTAATAGGGAAATAATTTTTACGATTTTTCTATCAACACCGATCAGGAGAATGAATTAGGATGCTAATGATCTGATTCGCGTCAGTTCTCATCTTTATTTTGGTTGCAGCTCCGTAAACGTTCCCTCAACTAGTAGAATCGTCACAAAAAGGATTGCAGATTTTGGGAAACACTCTTTTGAATCAGCTTTTATAGTATAAGAAGAATTGAAATTAGTACCTGATTATTGGTCATGTTCAGCAGTGTCAAATTATCCATTCCAAACAGAGCTCCGTCGTTGATGTCACTGATAAGGTTGTCAGCAAGATTCAGCGTTTCCAAGTCACGTAGTGCCGAGAATTGGCCGGCTTCCAACTGAAATATTAAGCATTTAGAATCTACCATGTGCATCAACAAAAAGTCGTCGAAATATACAAATTAATCGAGATATTAGCGTTTGACGGCTAGGAACTCAATATTGGGGCTGATGTGCTCCA